CCTGGTTTTCCTGCTAWGGACACGGAGGGCTCACGCAGGCAGAGATCTTTGGAAAGAGAGGAGGGTCAGCAGCACTTTGCCCCTCTGCTCTTGTTGCAGGTCTCCTTTGCCCAGCCATCCAGGGGGATGCCTCTCCTGTCTAACAACAAGAAAAAGGGGAGGGAAAAAAGTCCAACTGGGAAGAAAAAAAAAAAAGCACGCAAGCCTGCACACACTCCCYCTCGTGGAGAGCCGGTCTCCCTGCGCTAGGCATCCCGCAGACGCCCTCTCCGATTCCAAGCACAGAGCAGGACTGCATCCTGATGGAGAAACAATGCCGCATTCCAAAGGTATTTGCTGGGACAGAGTGAGACTCCCAATCCAGTGCCAAGATCATTCTTCTTTTACCAGCATTTTGTGGAAATCCTGCAGCCGGAGAGCTGGGAAACCAAGCTCCATAGCTAGGGCAGACCAAGGATGGCAGCAGTGAAATATCTCCATGGGTTTATTATTTCCCAGCCATGGGAATTATTTCCCAAAAGTCTTCAACTGATTCCCCGCAACCATGCAGGATTTTGCACTGACAACACCTTTCTCCCGGGAACCGAGCCAAGAGCTCCACAAGGTCATTTCACAAAGACAATTAGGGAGCCCCTTGATAGTCCCGTCTCACTTTAATTAGATCTCATTTCCCAAGAATTACAGAGCATGCCAGTCCAGGGCTAAAGGCAAGAACCATTTAACGAAATCAATTAGAGGCTCAGGATGGCGGTACCTGCGCGCTCCTGCACCACGGCGCCCAGCAAAGCGCAACCCTGGACGGCAGGGCCTGGGCTACAGTGATGGGCAACACGGCACAGACGGGACGGTCGCACGGCGACCAGCCACCCCCGCGTCGAGGGTGCCGAGCCCCGCAGCTGCCGCCGGGGCCCCGCGGCCCGGTCCGGTCCGGCCTCCCCGGGGGGAGCCGAGCGCCGCCCGCCCCGTCGGGGCGCCCCGCGGCGCTGTGCGGCGGCGCCACCTGGCGGCCGAGCGCGGGGCAGCGCCGACGGCCCGGGCAGTGCGAGCAGAGGCCACAGGAAAAGCCGGGTTTTTGCTAAAGGAAAAGACACATTACTGCTGGTGGAAAAGCCAGGTTTGATCCCCATCCACATCAGGCAGCTACTAGAGGGAGAGAGTGGCCCAAGGCTGCAGTTTCCATCCCCTCTCACCCTGGGTGGGTGATGCAGGGAACTGTCTGTCCTTGGGGGCTCACAGCTCACTCTGCAGCCCTGTCCTCATTTGATGTCTTGCTAACGAAGTCTATGAGACATAGTGACAACTGGCACCAGGACACAAACTCTCTCAGTGCCCCCAAAAAGGAGCCCCGACAGCAGCACTGCCTGGGAACGGCTGCATCAGGGCAGGGGACCTGGCTCTCCCTCACTGTCACCAGCCACTATAAATAACAGAAATAAACCAAGAGTCTCCCCTTTCCCCTTCCACATCCTGCCCTTAAAGCAAGGGTTGAATAAATGTTCCCTCTTGCTCATAACAAGCTTTACATTAAAGTAAACAGCCCTTTTTCTTCCCCGCCTTTCACAAGGGTGTTTCTAAAGCCCAAGACATCCGTACAGATCAGAGTGGTTCTGGGAACACAGGAAGGGGGGCAGCTCTCACCCCTGGGTCATGCCAGGCTGGGGCTGCTGCAGGGCTGCAGCACAAACCACCTGGGAGGCTTGCAGGGCAGACCAGACCAGGCGAGCAATGAAGATGTTGGTGCACGCAGATGAGGGAGCTGGGCATATGGGCTCCATTGGGGGTTGGGGCGGGTGGGAAAGGGAGGAGGTGTGTGGAGGGGAGGAACCCAGGCCAGGCAGAGTCATGGGGCCAGAGGGTGGGAGGGGGAAAGAGAGAATAGTAAGATCTAAATCTCTTCTGCTCTATGGGAAGGCAACCTGGGCACCCCTATGGTTTCCCTAAAGCATCCTACACCCAACTCATCCTGATCCCTCCCCAGCACCAGAACATGGGCAGCCCCACAGCGACTTACCCACACAACAGGGACAAGCAAGAGCACCCTAAGACGGGAGCATGCCCGGGCAGCCCCATATCTATAAATCCCCTCGGGCCACAGGTGCAGCAGCCGTCGGGAACACGCCCGGCTCCTTCCCACCACGTGCGGCCGGGCCGCAGGTGCGCAGAGCCGCGGGAAGCCGGGGCTGGGTTTGGACCAYGGTGCTGCCGTCCCCACCCGTCCCCTTCCCCCGCGTCCCTCCGTGCGGAGGGAGCCAAAGCGGCGGGGCCGCCCCCACCTCCCCGCCGGCCCCTAATTGGGAGGCGGCTCCGCGCGGGTCAGTGCGCGGAGCCATCGCGGAGCCAGCGGCTCCCTAATTAATTGGGAGGTGCCGCACGGGGCCCCGGCGCTGCTGTCCGCGGCCGCGGAGGCTGCGCGCCCGGCAGGCGGGCGCCGCGTCGCACAAAGCGCCGTCTGCGGCCACGCCGCTTGTCCCTGCTGCCTGGCTCYCCTCCCCTCTCCTCCTCCTGTCTGTTTTGGAAGGGGGAGGCAGGCGAGGAAGGGCTGTCTAAGGACAGTGCTGCACCATGGAGGRGGTTGCATGCCCGTGGAAATGCCTGAGGGGACAGGAACCTGCATGTGGCACCTGCAGACAGGTTGCCCCATTCAGCATCCTCAGTGTGACACCGGTACCACCRTCTCCTTTTGGTGCCAGTAACCAAAACGTATCTGATTGATCATGATTGATCGTGCACCTCTCCTCCTTGGTGGCACTGAGAGGAGTATGGGCACAAACCTTGGCAACTGCCACAGTGTGCCCAGCACACAGACTCGGGCCTGCAAAGCTTGTCCCATGACATCGTGTGTAGATGCCAAATAGCTCTGGTGGTTCCTTTCCAAAGAGCACGGAGACACCGTGAGATGAGCCCTCAGTCCTGTGACAAACAGCCAAGCATTGGCTGTTKTTGGGCTTCCCACAAGGCCAGGACACCTTAGCTGGGCTTGTCTGTGGGGCTGCGGAACAAAAGCTGGAGTCCTGGGTTCAGCTGTTAGCGAAGCACCCGGGGAAGCTAAGCTGAGGAAACACGGACTGGGATTAACAGGACCAGCTCTGGTGACACCTCGAACTTTMAGGAAGCTGATGGCACCACTGGAAGACCTCATCCACATTCCCTGTGAGGAAGCGCCCTGTGTGAAGAGGTCATGGGGCGCTAACACACTTGGCTTTGGCCTCATGTCAAGGTGTGCAGCAGGCCTTGTGCCAAGCTGTGTGAATATGGTTTCACATGACCCTTGTTTGTGCCTGGACACCTGGGCTCTTGTGGCAATGCTTGACCACTTGGTCTGGCCCCTTCTCCTCTTGTCCCTCTCCTAGAAAAAAGCTSCCTCCTGCTGCACCTGGGCAGGTTGGAAATAGCCCAACCAGCACCAGGCCCTGGCTTGCCCACCATGGAGGAAGTAGAGATTTAAAGAGTAGCTGCCCCATGCGCCAGGATGGGCTGCAGTGCTGGAACCACATCCTGAACCAGCCACAGGAGCATCAGGAGCAGCTGAGGCCAAAACCCAGCAGGGAGGAGGGTCCTGTGATGCTGGGGCCCATGGAAGCTCCTGACACAAGCGCTGCGGGACCCAGGCTGGCCTCTCCTTTGTACATTATTGTTCATCCTGATTTCTGTTTATTCCAAAATAATCCAAACGTTGTTTTAGCAACACCATTCTACCCCTCCGGTTTAAGAGATTTGCATCCTGCTGAGGCCCTTCCCTAATGGCAGAAATATTGGTTCTTCTCTCAGTGCAYAGATAAAGAGCAGCGCAGTCGGTTTGGTGGTGGAGGGGAAGGTGGCTCTTGCCCTCCCCAGGCCGCCCCCTCGAGCTCGCCCCAGAGCTCCTGCAGCCCAGCGGGGTCCCGGGGGGCTCGGGCCGATGTTTGGGGGCAGTGCTGGCCGGGGAGGAGCCGCGGCCGTGCACGGACCGCCCCGTCGGGGCCGGACCAAGAGGACGTGCGGGGGGGTGGGAGGGTGTGCGGTGCCGCGGGGCCAGCAGAGGGCGCCCCGCACCCGGGCCTGCCCGGTCCGCGCCGCCGAGGACGCGCCCCCACCCTCGGACCCGGCCCCGCGCCTGGGCTAATAAATCTTCCCCCCAATGAGAACAGGGTAATTGGTGAAGAAAAGGGTTGTTTATGTCACCCGCGGCCGCTCCCGCACCGCCGCCGCGCCGCCAGCGCCGACACACGGGCGCGGACCCACCGCCCCTTCGAGGGAACCGCCTTGCGCCCCCACAGCAGAGCGAGACCCTGGGTCCGCCTCGACGGGAAGGGCCCTCCGAGCCGCCTCGGTGCTGCGGCCCTTGCGGTCCCTGCATAGACTTTTTCCACGCTGCCTCCCAGCACCTGCGGCCCTTCCCGCCGCACCTGCGCGGGGCCGGGTTCCTTCTCCCCGAGTTCACAAACGAACCGCAAAAACCTCCCCGAAAGCCGGGCGAAAGTCAAATGTTTCGGCGCCMCATGGGGATATTTCCACCCTCCCTGCTCAACCTGCGCGCGGGATTTCGGGCGGATTTTTCCTCGCAAGAAAGCCCCAGAATTAACTCGGCTGYGCCGCAACGCGCTGCGCTACCGCGGAGAGAGGGAAGCGCCCGGCAGCGGCAGCCGTCGCTTGAATGAACAACGCGGAAGGCGACAGGGCTTCTCTGAGTATTTTTTATTGAAAGATGTGAGAGAATTCATCAAAAATGAACAGATAGATACCCGAATAACCAGCACATTTCAAATCATGTTTTTATTATTATTATTTTAAAACAAATATAGAGCACAGTCCTTGTGATATTTAAATTTATTATACTTTTTTTTTATTTGTTCTGGAGTGAAAAATAAAAACCTGAGGTTTATTCCTGCATTCTTTATACCCCGCACTGTAGAGATATTTTAGTTACGTTTTGGATTCGTTTTTTTTTTTCCCTTGTAAAAGTCCTTTAAAGAATTGAACTCACAGCCTCACCGACTCAAAAAAAAAGAAAAAAAAGAAGAAAAAAAAAGAAAAAAGTGTTGCTGATGGCACATGATTGTCCTAGAGAACAGGCGGGATAAACAATATTTTAAAACACAGTTAAAAGAAACCAATATCTCCTCCAATCACAAAGAGCTAAATAGTTTTCATTTACAATATATATGTTCATGTAAAATGAAAAAAACTTAAATGCAATGAGTTAAACTCTAAATATTATGTACACACCAATGTACAACTCTGAATAAATTAATACCAATTTGCATATTCTGGGATCCTTATAGCTTATTTACACAAATTACCATTTATTTCATAAATATTTTTTTCCCTGGTACACAGGTCGCTCCACTGCTGCCTGGTACCAATGTTGAATGTCACTGGACACTGCGACCGCTGTGGGGACGGTGCCGTCCCCACCTTTCCTGCCTCGGGGCCTCCCCCACCCTTTGCACAGATGAAATTTTCATCTCCCCACCCCAGGGAAGGAGTCGGGAGGTGGGGGGCGCCCGCCCCGTCCAGCGGCGCCGTGGGAGCCTCCGTATCCACTCCTGGCAGGGGAAGGGGATGGATAAAACAGGGGACACGAGTGCACGGCCCTGGGGGTGCATATCCCACCCCACAGCCTGGACGGGGCGACCGGCGAGCCCCACACATCCCCCTCCACCACCCCGGGAGAGGCTCCCCAGAGGCGGCAATCCCTCCGCCCCAGCCCCTCACTCCGCAATAAATATTTACGCCGTGCTGTACAAAACACCAGTGCTCATCAGCCCCGCGGGGGCGGGCGCGCGGCCGGCCCCGCCGGTCACTTGGGGGAGTCGCGGCCCGGCGACAGCTCCCGCTGGCTCTCGAGGCCGCTCACCAGTCTCTGGATGTTCTGCAGTTCGTTGAGGCTCTCCTTGAGCGACGAGCCCTTAGGGGAGGCGGCGACTGCCCCCGCGGGCACCTTGTGCGCGGCCGCCCCGTCGGGCGGCGGGCTGGGCTCGCGGCTTCCCGGGGCGCCGTCGGGGGTGGGCTGCAGCCCGGCGGGCAGCCCCGTGGTGAGCAGGTTGGTGCTGGGGGGAATGCTCACGGGCAACTGGTAGGGGCTGAAGCGCAGCCGGGGGCGGCTGCCGCCCAGGAAGGGGTTGCGGGAGAGCGGCCCCGTGCCTGCGGCAGCGGCCGCAGCGGCTGCGGCACTGCTGGCTGGCATGGCCGAGGCGGCCGCCGCCGCCGCTGCCATGTAGGTGTAAGGGTAGGGGAAGAGTCCGCCGAAGGTGGGCATCGGGATTCCCTGCGGAGAGACGGAGAGAGCCTGTGAGAGATGGGAGGCCCCTGTTGCATCCTGTCATAGCCCTCTTTTCCCACCCCATGTTGAGAGGGGTCTCAGTGGGAAGAGGAGCAGGCCATGGAAATTGGGTTATGGAGCCCAGCAATGCCCCCACACCACTGCCCATCCCAGCTGCATTCAAACCACTGCTGAGCGGTATGGGAAAAGGGTCAAAAGCACCTGGGGACATGGACATTCACATCACAGCTTTGGTGCTGCCTTGGGTCAAAAGCTCCCAGTGCCTCTGCAGCTGCTTTGACACTGGCCAGGAAACCATGGGGCTATAGGTACTGCCTGTGCCGCCCCCACCAATATAGAGGCTTTAATAAATTAAATAACAATAATTTTTTTTTTTTTTTTTTTTTTTTTTTTTTTTTTTTAAGAAAAACAATATCAAGATTCCTCCTCAAACCAGTCTTCAGACCTTTTGGCCTCCTTTGGGCTGTGCTGCAGCCAGGAACCCGCTTTGGGGGCAGCCTTACCTGAGAGGCCAGCATGTGCTGGGAGAGGTGGAACGGGAAGGGGGTGGCCGCCCCCGCGGCCCCTTGGGCAGATGAGAGGGCCCCGTTCTCCAGGCTGCTGCCGCCCGTCACCGAGGCCAGCAAGTGTCCCATGCCCATGGCAGAGAAGGCGCCGGGCGCCATGGCGAACTGTCCTGGGTGGATGAAGAGGGGCTGCCCGGCACTCAGCGGGCTGAAAAACTGCTGCCCGTGGAGGCCCGAGAGTGCYAGGCTCTGCAGGTGGCCGGCGCTCAGGTGCGGGGGGCTGTCCGTGTGCACCATGAGCGGGGCAAAGGCCTCCTTGCCCAGCCCGCYGCTCTCCGTGTCCTTCTTGCCCGGCTCCGACTCTTTCCTCCGCCCTTCCACCTTGTCCTTCTCCAGGCCCCGCAAGCCGAACAGACCCTCGACGGGGCCGTCCTTGGGTGAGACGCCGTCTTTGCCCTTGTCCGGGCTGCGCCGCTCCTTGCCCCGCTCCTCAGTGCACCGGGGGCTGCCGCGGGGCGTCGCGTCCTCCCCGCTGGGGCTGCCTGCGCCACCCGGCCGCTCCTCGGGCACCTTCTCCACCTCCTGGTCGCTGTCAGCTCCCGCTTTCTCCTCTAAGAAAAGGACAAAGGTGTCAAGAAACCAAAAGCGGCAACACTCGTCTAAAGACCCCGTTTTCCCAACACTGGACCCCTAGCGAGTACAACCCTCTTCCAGCCCCTTCCTCAGGCAGCACCATCCCAGGGAGCAGCAGCGCTCTCCCCAGGGACCCTCTCCCAACACACAGCAAAAAGGCAGTGGGGAGGAAAGGGCCAGTAAGACCCCAGCGCTACAGGAGCTTTCCCAAGGGAAAGGTCCCAGCCACTAACAGTGGGAAGAACTTGGGCTATTTCAGGGACAGATACTAGCCCTTGCACCACGAGGGTTTGGGGGAAAGGGGGATTAGCAGCCATCGTGCTGCCAAGCAGGAAAAACACRTTTGCCGGAACACTGAGATGCGGCATCGCGGCACCAGCCTCAGAGCTGCGACCTGCAGGCTGAGGCGTGGGGGACAGAGCAAGCCGGGCAGCCGGCACGGAGGAAATGATTCGGTATATATTTAATTACGCAGAGCTSATCAGCTCCACGGGCTCCATGGATTTATTCCAAATGGGAAGGCTGTGCCAGGTTAAAGAGCCTGTTTTAAGTAAGGAGGTATGGCACAGGGCTCCCTTAAAAGAAGAAAAGGGAAAAAGGAAAAAAAAAAAACCATAAGAGGGGCATATCTGAAGAAACACGGGGTGAAAAGAGAGCAATGGGAGTGGAACTGCTGTTGAATAAGAAGTGAGTTTAACTGCAGGTTGGGTAAAAGTCTGCAGCCTGGAGTGGCAGGATATTCTGTGAAGGCATCGAAAGAGGGCAGGGGGCAATAAAGCCCCTACCAGGGTAGGGGGCAGATTCTGTTTGACTCCTGCAGGGAATCAAGTTCAGGGACAGTGGCTGCTTCGAAGAGGAGCAGATTGATAGCGTGGCAAGACTAACTACAGTGTCTAACACCTGCAACGCAGGAACCATTTGGTCATTTTAATTTATTCGCTTTAAGTTGCAAACTTTCTTTCTACTTTTTTTTTTTTCTTTTTCTTTTTGTGGATGTCTAAGCCAGGCATCACAGGCAGGGCAGCAGCATGCAGGATACGCCTGGCGTTGCATTACTTACTGCTTACACTAATGTATAAACAGGAAAATGCCGCAAGCCGTCAATACTCTGCACATTTTCTCACCGCTGCTACTTCTGTTATTCCAGACCTTTGGTTATTTCGCGCTCATCTTTACTTTTCACTTTTTGGGGGGATGATTTTCTTTTTCCTTTCTCTTCTTGCCAGCCAGCCCGCATGCCCCTGCACCTCTCCACAGCGCGGGGCAGTGCCTAGTAATGGAGCATCCTGAAGGGCTGCCAAGGACGGCAGAGCGGGGCTTGCTGACACCCATCCCGGGCCGCTGCCTCCCGACCCCCGCGGCCGGCCGCGCCGTCGGGGGAAGCTCCCGTCGGGGCTCCGCAGCGTTACCTCTGCCCTTGAGGCGCAGCGGGCTGGGCACGGCTCCCCCCGGGGAGTGCAGCGCGTCGCGCCCCGCCGCCGGCTCGCACGAGGAGGCGTCCGACTCGCCGCCGTCGCGCTCGGGCTTGCAGGGCTCCTCGTACATCCGCAGCGACGGCAGCGACAGCTGCTTCCTGCGCGGCGGGAGGGGAGAAGCGAAGCGGCGGCTCAGAGGCGCCCCCGGGGCTCCGCGGGCGCGGAGCGGGGCYGGGGAGGGGGACACGGAGCGGGGGGTGCGCGGCTCTTACCTCTTCTCCCGCCGGCCATTGCCCGTGTCGCGAAAGCCTTTGGCGAAGGGGTTGTTGTCGATTTTGAGCTGCGTGATCTGGGGGGCAGAGAGACGGGGGAGGCGGCGTGAGCCCCGCTGTCCCCTCAAGCACCCCCGGCCGCCCCGACGGCGCCGGGTCGCGGCCCGGGCACGGCGCGCTGCGACCGCGGCGGCGCGCGGCGGGGCCCCGCTTTAACACACCGCACGCTTTATTAAAAATGATGCTGAGGTTTTGGCTTGAATTATTAATCGAGTTTTAATGATAGGAAGTTATTTTTCACGGCCCCCTGGAGGGAAGATGGCGACTGAGCCTCTCCGCGCTGGTTAAAAGCTATTCTTATCTCTGCCCGCCACGAACTTATGGGGCCGGCGACATTAGGGCGCTCAATAATGCATGCCTTTGAAATATGTCCCCGAGATGGGCGCGTTAAAAATGCATGCCTGAGCCCTGCGCCCGGAGCCGCRCAAAGCCGCGGACCGGCCACCCCGACGGGGCGTCCCGGCAGCGGCCCCACCGCCCGGCCAGCGCACCGAGTGCTTCTTAATCGATTGTGACTCTTCGCCATAAACTTTACGAGGGAAACAAGCCCACCAGGACCCTCAGACGAAACTGTCAATTAGCATCAGCAGCCGGGCTGGAGGTGGGGGTCAGCTTTTGGGTTAAARCACACACGCACAACTCTTGCGGCCAGGACCCGTCCTGGCTACACTGCTCTGAGAGCAACACTTGCTAAATCATAAAAGTGACTAAAATAAGCTCTAATGTTTGTGCCTGCCTGGGACACCATCCCGGCGAGGTGGCCGAGGCCTTTGCTACCTGGAGACTGCAGGAAGGGCTTCAAGCAGCACCAGAAAGGTGCAAATTAGTCATCACTAGGGAATTAATAAATATAAATGAAAATAATATAATTAAATTTAAATTTAATAATAAAGAGTAATAATTTTCCAAATGTTGCCTGCTCTGATTGCTTGGGATTTAAGCTTTCTCCTGTTGCTGCAAACCTGTCCTGTGGCTCAGACTCTTGACCACAGACAGACAGACACCCAGGCCTTACCTTGTCGTTCTGGTAGGCGGTAACAGCGATGAAGTCAGTCTCGGGGAACACGTAGGTGCGGAAGGTGCTGTAGGGCAGCTTGAGGATGTCATTGGCCCGCACGATGTGGAAGCGGGGCTGGTACTTGTGCATCGAGTTCAGGATGGTCTGAGGAAAGGGCGAGAGAAAAGAGCGAGGGGCTGCCATGAGGCACAGATCCGTGCTACAAACGCACCCAAACCTACCCGTGCAGTTACAAAGCACGTTTACACTTTTTTTTCCCCGAAAAAAAGTCATTATGATGAAACAATGCCGGTGGATTCTGTTAGAAATGGAGATTTTTTTTTTTTTTTTTTTTTTGTGCCATTGTCCCATCTCTCCCCAAATAAGGCGGGCACAGGGAAAAAGGAGGCACAGCAACATCTTGTTGTGCGGGCGGGATGTGAATCTAAGCAATACAACAGCAGAAGGGTATCATCGCGCTTTACTGCAACCCTGAAGACGTCGCCTGTTTTTTAAAAAACACATTTCTATCTGCTTTTCATATTTATGTCCTTTTAAAAAATATCCTACTTCATTTCCCCAAATAAAATTTTGTGGATAGTTGTAGCAGGAAAAAAATATATATATATATATTCAAGCTACAAAGAGAGCGAGAACGCTGGTTCAAGGAGCCACATTACAGTCCTGTCCCTGAGCAAGGTTGCAGCCGCGCGCACATTTCTCCCTTTTTCCAACCAGGTGTCTGAGATTGTCTCCAACAACCAAAGCAATTCTCTATCCCCTCACTTTTTTTTTTTTTTTTTCCTATTTTGAAGGAAAAAATATAGAGTATTAATCGCAATTTCGCCGATGATATTTGGAACCGGCTGAAGGCGCAACGTGGAGCGAGCCGAGCCGCCGCTTCCTTTAAATCAGCGCGGAGCGGCCGCGCTCAGGCTGAACCGCGGGATTAAGAGCACGGAAAAAGGCCGAGGAGCGGCGAAAGCTCCAGTAATTACTGTCAAAAAACATCGGCCAAATGGCTAAATAATTATCACTTCATTTCGTTTTAGAAGGCAGTAAAAAAATCCCCCCACCTTTTCTTTTTCTTTTTTTTTTTTTTTTTTATACCCAGCAATAATCACCTGCTGATGAACTGTCAGATCACTGTTATATTGGTACGCTCTAACTAGGATTTATAATAAAACGGTGCAAAAAATCTCATTCTGCCGTGCAAAGCTGCATTCCTTAAAAAATAATAATAGCAATAATCATCTCTCTCTGAGCAGATGGGCACCGGCTAAACCCTTGTCTCCCAGATTTAACACACTCCAGATTTGGGGAAACGACACAGAGCAGAAATCTTTAATTGAAAGAGGTGAACCGTTAAAAACACTCAACCAAACTAGTTTTTCCCCGGAATAGTAATTTTAAAAAAAATGATAAAAAAGAAAGAAAAAAAGAGAGGCTATTTATTAGACTCTCTTGCTATCGATTTACCTTGCAGCCTATAAATAGCCTTGCAATATATTATTGAACATACACACTCTTTCCTGCCAAAATAAAGGAAAATAAAATAATAAATAAATAAATTAAAACAACAATAATAAAAAAAAAAGTTACACAGGGACCGATGTCTCTCGTGTCCCGCACCCGCTTTTATAGGTCTGCGCTGCCTGCAAGGCTCGGCACTGGCTGGCACACGGAGGGCTCCAAATCCCGGTTAATTACCATATCAAAAACGCAGGACGATGAACTTTCCCTTTATCGCCCTAAAAGCTTGTCCAGGGGCTAAAGATAGCGCGCTTGTTTGCTGGGATATTTTTCTCCCTGCCCGCGCTTTCAGGGAAGATCAGACTCCACTGTGACCCCGCTTTCAGGGGCTCCAGCTCAGACACAGCCGGTTTTGTTCCCTCCGGGAGGCGACGCAGATGGGATCAATAAGGAATTACATCGGGCGGGTGATAGCGCCCTTCGGAAACGCTCCGTGCAAATAGCCGCCGGCGCCGCCAGCCCCGCGCAGGTGCCGCGCTGCGCCCGCCCCGAAACGCGGTCGCATCGACGGRTCCCCCTCGGTGCCACCACCTCGGTCCGGACGGCGCCTGCCCGTGGAGCCGTCGGGACTGCCCCTGGCCGCCCCCTCGGGCCTCCCTGAGTCTCATACCCTCTTTCCCGAGTTCTCCGCAAATCCTGGGACAGGGCAGAGCCGTCGGGACAGGACGAGGCAGYGCGGCCGGGTAGGGACAGCCACCTTGTGTGGGCTCCCCGCGGCCAAAACCTCCCTGAGGCGAAGCCGCCCCGGCCGCATCCCAGGAGCTGCCTCGATGGGGCTGGGGAGGACGAAGGGCCGTGGGCACTTCGGGAGCTGGGCAAGACCCCGCCGTCCAGTGCGGAGCCGCCCAAACCCCGCTGCGCTGCCCTTTGCCGTCGGGCCACCGTGGGGAGCGGCCCCCACAGARCCCCAGGGGTGCTCCCGCCGCCGCACTTACAAAGCCGTGCTTGTCCGAGATGTTATTGGTGAGCTTGAGCTTGTGAAAGGCGACCGGCTTGGCCATCCACTGCTCGCCCGTGGCCGGGCTGTCGGGGTGGATGTACATGCGCTTGGGCATCTCGGGGTCGGCCTTGCCCGCCACCATCCAGCGGGAGTTGTGGAACTTGTACCGGCAGTCGTCGGCAGCGACTATATCCATGAGCAAAATGTACTTGGCCTTCTTGTCCAGGCCGCTGACCCGCACCTTGAACGGGGGGAACATCCTCCTGTGGAGAGAGGCAGAAAGGGCAGTGCGGCCTTTCGGCTCTGGACAGCAATGCGGAGCGCTGGGAGAACCCGTGGGTAGCGGGGCTCAAACCTGCTGCTTGGGGATCCGGGGGGGAAGGTGTCCCCGTGCCTCCCCAAAATATGGGTTGTGTGGGCAGTCSCCAGGCCGGCCCGACGGCGCGTTCAGGCCCGCACCGCTGCTGGGCCTTGCTGCCCCAGGGCCCGGGCCGGGCGGCACCGCGGAGCTGCGCACAGAAACCCGCAGTGCCCAGAGGCGGCCAGGACTCCCCTTTGGGCGCCTCAAAAAAAAACATTTTTTTTTTTTTTTTAGTTGAGATCGTGCAATAAATTCCCAGCATTTTTCACGGTCAAGAATCACCCACTTCTCCTAGCTCTGCTCCATCTGCGGGACGGAAAACATGCGAAAAGTCTCAAAATCCCATTTCAGGAAATCAAGGGCAGAGATGAAAAACACATCCCGGCTCCGATTTAACCCTCTTGTCCTTTCCTAGAGAAAGGCACGAACGAAACAGCCAGCGGCCCTGGGCAGGAGCGGGCCGGGCCGGGATGCAGCCCCGCCGGGGGGGCCCACGGAGCCGGCCGCGGAGCGGCCCGAGGGGGAAAGTTTGGAGGTGGGAAACGAAATTTTGGGAGGAGAAGTGGAAACATGTGTAATTTATTTTTTTAGGGGATTTAGGGGGGTAAATTATTAAATGCTATTTTAGTTCGGGATCGCACTTAAAAGGGAAAAAATAAAAGTCGTAACTGCCGTACGGGAGGRGATGGAAGAGGGGAAGAAGAGCACACGGGAAACACGGGATACAGTAAATCCCGGTGCTGCCGCCCGGGGTTAAAGCGCCGCGGTGGGAGAAGGGAGCCAGGCGGGGGGACAAGGCCGGGAAACGCGGGGCGCCGCGGGGTCCCGCAGGTGCGGGGCTGGCTCCTACCTTCCCGACTTGGTGATCACCATCTCGGTGCCCAGCTTGTGAAACTGGTCCCAAAGCTCCTTGGCTTCCAGCGTCACTTTGGGGTCGTCCTCCACCTCCTCCTCGGGTTCCAGGCTCTTGAGGGAGCGCAGATGGGCGGCCTGGTGGTGGTGGCCGAGCGCCGAGACGTGCAGCCCGGCCTCGGCCGCCCCGGCCAGGCTGGGGTCCGGCATGGGCTTGGCCAGCGCCGCCGGCGGCAGAGCCAGAGCGGGGAAAAAGGAGGGCTGGGCGGCTGCTAGGAAAGCAGACATAGGGAAGTCGGCCGGCCTGGGTGCGTGGAAGGGGTGGTAAGCCATTGCAGTCCCCGGGAAGGCTGGATCTCTCATCGGTGCATCCACAAATCCAGGAGAAAAAGAGGGATTCCTTCTCAAAAAAAAAAAAAAAAAAAAAAAAAAAAGACAGCGTGGATTCTTTTTTATTTGTTTGTTTTTAGTTTTTTTTCCTCTTTGCCTCGCGAATTCGCTCGAGTCTCTGGTAGAGGAAGGAAAATCAAAATCTAAACTGAACAAATCAAAAACTACAACAAAAAAAGTCGAAAAACAGCGGAACTGGATCTGGAATTAAAAAAAAATAAAGAATGAAAAAAAAAAAAAAAAAGAAAGAAAAAATAGAGGCAATTCAGCAGTTCGCGGCTCCTGGGACTCCCGGTCTGCTGATGGGAGAGAGTCGGTCCTTATTTTTTTGTTGTTGTTGTTGCAGCTAGAGAGGGAGAGCGAGAAGGAGAGCGAGCTCTCCCGGTAAAGTCCTTAACCACACTAAAATAGAAACAAAAGCCGGCGCGGGGCTGCGCGGAGGAGCCGCGGGGGCGGCGGGAGCCCTCACACCCCCGCGGGCCCGGGCTGCGCGGGGCCGGCTCGGCTGCGCGCTTCGCGGACGGCGCTGGGGCCCGCGCTGCCCATGGCAGGGGAGCCGGAGTGGGAACGGGTAGATCTTGTCCCGATCTCGGTAAAACTGTGACTATCTCACATGTCCTTCCTGCTCTGATCCGCCCGCTAATGAGCCAAGCCCCCTTGATTGCTGATTTTACGCGTTTCAGACCAATTGTGGATCCGCATAGGCGTGGTTTTGACAGCTCCGGCCAAGCGSGGGGGKGSGGGGGGGTAGGGGGGAGGAGGGCGCGGAGGGAGGGAGGGAAGGAAGAAGGGAAAAGAAAAAAAAAAAAAAAAGCAGAAGGTGTCGGAAGCCTCGGCAGTAAGAAAACATGTCAACAGAATAAAATATTAACCAATGACAGAGAAAAGTGCTCGAGATCCCACCCCCGGCTGCTTTCCGCATACCGGGTCAGCGCCGGCTGCGCCGCGGCCGGGGAGCGGCCGCCGCCGGTGCGGAGCCAGCGCGGAGCCGCGGAGCCGCCCCGCGCAGTGAAAGCAGCACATGGGGCCCCCCGCCCACGCGCCCGCCCCCCTTGTCCCCCTCATCGCGCCGCTCCGCGCCCGTGTGGGGCTCGTCCGCGCTTGTGGGGGTTGGGGGAGGTAAGGGGGGGCAGCCCCGGGCGGCGCCGCCGTCGCCGATTTGCGCGGGGCGCGCAGCTCCGCGCGGCGCCGGGGGAGGCCGTCGGGGCTCCGCCGTCTTACGACCGGGACGTGGAGCGCGGCGGGGCCCGCCTCGCTCCGGCCGCCGGGCGCAGCGAGGCAGCGGCGGCGACTTCGAGCAGAGCCACGGCCGAGCCCGGGTGAGTGGCCGGGCCCCGCTCGCACCCCCCGGGCAGCGCTGCAACGCTCGGGGGTGGAGGAAGAGGAGGAGGAAGTGGGGGGGAGGAGAGGGTCCTGCGCCCAGCCCTGCGCACCCGGCGGCGGCCGCCGGTCCCGTCGAGGCGGCAGCGCGGGCCCAGTCCAGCCCGGCCCGACGGCGGCTTTAGCAGCTCAGGAGCTGCGGGCTCCTCGTCGCTGCCGGCAGGAACGAGCCGCGGGGTTTGTTTACTCGGGCGAGTGGATGCAGATAATCTTGAAGGAAAATCCCAGCGCTGTTTGCAGAGGGATTAGGGCTGGTCCCCCTGCCCCCGGCTGGCGTGCGGAGGTGGCACCGGGAGGGGGGACGGAGCCGGCGGGGGGCGGGCAGGGCTCTGTGTGTGTCCCTTTGGAGAGGTCCATTTGGAGATCTGTTCTGATTAACTGAGGGCTTCGTTTGCTGAAGAGGACCTTGGCGCCAGGCGGCTGAGCCCTCACAATAAAGACCCGTCTCTTGTCACTTCATATTTACCCCCAAATCTTCAAAAAGCGCCCTGCAATCCTCCCAAGGCTCCGGCCCCCGCCGCCGCGCTCCGGCCCAGACAAGGGGGRGAAAGAGACGGCGGGGGCAGAGCCCCCTCGCCCGGCCCCGAGCTGCTCCCCGCTCCGCGGGCGCGTATCGAGGTGCAGGGTGCGCGCTGGGAACAGGGTCCTGAGGGGGCCTCAGCCGCGTGTCCCCCCCACCCTAAACATGCCTCCTCCTCTCTCCCCCCCTGTGGARGTTACATCTTGCTGACAGCAACCACCGTCATCCCCTCCTGGCGCCACCGAGAGCGCAAATCAAAGCCGCGGACTGCGTTATCAGAGGCGCTTTACAACCCTCCCTTGTCCCGCGGCAGGTTCACCTCTGCCTGCCGCTGGCGGGACCCCCTCGGCCGCCGTCCGACGGGGCGGCCGGCCCAGGGCTCCCCGCGCCCGGCGCCGCGGTGAGGGGCGGCGGGTCCCGCTGACCATTGAACGCAGCGCGGGGAGCAGGGATTGAAATTTAGACCTGATCTGGACTTTGCTTCCTCGCCACGGAGGGAAAGTGCTGACGGCAGCGCTGGCAAAAATGGGAAAATGGGGCTAGCCTCCCCTCTACCTCTTTATTTCTTCTTTTCTTTTCTTTTTTTTTCTTTTTTTTTTTCTTCTTTTCTTCCTCTTATTTCTTTTTTCTTTTTTTAAAAATCCTTCTCACAAAGCCAAACCAGAACTGTTTCTTGCCCCCCACGGCATCGCCCCAGGCCCGCGGCCCCGAAGGCGACGGACAGACACTCCTGCTGCAGCCCCGAAAGACGAAGCAGGAGGCCGGGCCCGAGCAGGGACCTCATTGCCCCGTCCTTGGGCTGGGGCTGCGCCCCACGCTCCGCGCCGCGGTGCCGCTGTCACGTCGCAAACGCCCTCGCCTGTAGAATAAAATTCGAGTCGGGCACTCGTGTCATCCTGTCCCTCTGTGGCCGCGCCACCGGTGGGACCGTCGCGGGGAAGGTGAAGAGGGAGCTCGGACTCCCTTTCCCCGGGAGGGGGTTCGGCCCCACGGCCGCGTCTCCCACCTGCTACGTTGGGGCAAAACTCACTCGTGGATGCCGTGGCCTTGGACGGGGCATCCTGTGGCCACGGCGGGGCAAACCTCGACGTGGCCCCGCGCTCCCCACGGAATTGCAGGCGCCAGGTGCCTCCTGCTGCGGGGCTGCCCTGACCAGGGGGAAAGAAAAGACAATATTCCCTCGCCTAACCCCCCCCACCTCCATTCCCTCTTGTCCAGAGAACGGGAAGAGCCGGGAGAGCGGCCAAAGACCCCGGCGCTGGCGTCCGTGCGGCCCCAGTGAACAGCATTTCCCGGCCCGGCTCGGTCCCGGTTCGGCCCGGCCGCCCTTTCCCGGCCCATCCCGCCCCCCCCCGGGCTCGGCCCCGCTCGCGCTTCCCCTTTCATCTCTGCCCATCTCCTCTCCTCATCCCTTCGCTATTTTTAGCTCGTAGACTTAGGCCTTGGCGCCAGGCCGTTTAAGACCTGTCAAAGTCCTTCATATTTCCCTCATGTCACATGGACCTTTCGCTCCCTTCCCCGCGCCATGCGAGGCCCGTAATTTGGATCTGTGAGCTGCTGAGCAAATGCAATTTGCTCTTCTCCATCGCTGTGTTGTCTCCGTGACCCCAGTCAGCAGGACGGCTGGTGTCCTGTCCGGGCCACTTACACAAATTGCGGCTGATTGATGAAAAATAACAATTCTCACAAGCCGCCGGGCCTCCCTCGGCCGCTGCCTCCTCCGGGCCGGCCGGGCCCGCGCCCCGGGGAGCTGCCGCCGCCCTGGGGGCACCTGGGCGCGGCCCGCAAAGCACCGGCAGCTGCGGGGGGGTCGCGCTTGTAGGGCCCCCGCCGCCCTCCCCACACGCCAGGGTGGGGACCACCCTCCTCCCCAGGGGCGCTCGGGGAGGGCGGCCCGACAGGATGGGCGAGCCCAAGGTTGGGAGAGGGGGATCCGATCCGGCTCCTCGTTGCCTGGGGGAGCCGAACCCCGGGGGGGCGGAACCTRGAGCAGCGGGGCCGTAGAGCCCTGATGGGACCGGTGCAAAGCGGCAGGTGCCGGGCGAGGCGGCCCCGGGCGCATCCCGGTCCCTCGGGGCACCATGGGGAGTGTGTATGTGGGGCCTAGGGCCCAACCGCCCCCTCCTCCACGCTGCTCCTTCATCCCGTCTGTGGCCAGACCGGCCCCAGTGCCCGCTCAGAGAGCACGGACGGGGCGGGACTCGGGGTCTTCAATTACCCGTTTGGATGGAGAATTAAAACAGAGTTTAATTACTCGCCACCATTTACTCTCACTCCGTCCACATCGGATATTTTTCTCCTTCTCCCCAAGGCGCTTTGCTCGCAGCACGTCCCGCTCACACTCGCTCAGCCGAGGACAGCCAGAGCCGCCGTCGGAGGACGGAGCCGGCGGCCTCGCGCCGCTCGCAGGTGGCCGCGACGGGACGGACGAGCCACCCGGCCCGGCACAAGCCCGGCTGCCGCCGCCCCTGCGCCCTGCTGCGCGGCCGCGGAGCCCCGCGGAGCTGCGGAAACACAACACGCCCCGTCGGAGCAGCAGCCTCAGAGTTTCATCTGCCCCGAAATGTTTAGATTTCTCTCCTTTTTTAAAGAAAATATTCCCAGTAATCTCGATTTATTGAAAATAACAACACGCAGGCACAAGCGCTGCCGAAGTTTCTCCAGAGCTGGAACAACTTATTAACGCTTTTCCCAGTCTGTTTGCCGGGGCAGAGGCGGTGACCCCCGATGCCAGGCGGGCAGCGAGGACCCTGTGCGGGAACGGGACGCGGGGAGGTGGGCGCGCATCCTCCGCGCTCCGCCCGGCACCCGCCCCCGTTACCTCCGCGCCGCTTTGATCCGTGAGCCCTGGCCGGGGCCGCCGCTTGATTGATTTTTTTCAATTAGGGCGAGTCCTCCCCTCCGCGGGGGCGGAATTAACCCCGCGCGCGGCCGCGGGAGCCCTTGGGGCCGCTCGGCTCCCCACGTCGGGGCCCGGGCGCCTCGCAAGCACCGAACCCGTTGCCTTAAAAGGCGACGGGAGCCCCGGCGGGGGCCGTGGGGGGATCCGCAGCGCCGTGTGAAACCCGAGCTGGCGCGGAGGGGAGGGGAAATCACGTAAATCCCCCTGTTTA